TCTAGGTATCATTATCTTGAACCAAAACCCACATCCTCCCCGCTGTGGACTTTGAAGTCAACATCAGAGGTGTAAAATACTGATGCTGTGGTTATCCTCTTTTTGAACCCAGTTATATCACCTCTGCTATGTTTATTTGTGAAAGATTCTTTAAAACATCTCTTCTATAGAGGGTGGTCATGTTGCTATTGGGATGAACAATATTGTGCTTCACATAAAACTGATAAAAGACTGAAGACACTTTGCAAAGCAATCATTACAGGCTAATAATCAAGGTACAATTTATTAGGTACTAGTTACCACCCAAAACAAGCCATAACACAAGCTGAAACCCAGCCCCTTTTTGAGCATGGAATCAAACGAGGCACTCCAACAAAACTTTCTTAAACGGACAAACAGACTATTGTGCCTCACTTCCGTCTCTTTTCATGTATAAAACCAAAAAGACACTGTCTAATGTCTCCTGACCTCTCTGAGGCCCTAAGCAAAATTCTACTAGTTGGCCCTTCAACCTGACCCGTAAGCCATGTTAACTATTTGTCATTGCCGTAGAGTCACACCTGACATTCCAGTACTCCCACTATAATTCTTCCTCCTTTAAAACAGTTTGCTCCATCTGTCAGTCTAAGAATTAGTAGCTCTATACAGAACAGGATGAGGTATAAAAAAATAATATTTATTCAATAGAATATTAACATTGTAGAAAATATAACATTTAGAAAATAATAAAAACTAAAAACTGACATTTAGCTCTGCTGCATGGTAATTAGTCCAATCCATACAATATTAAAATTATTAGCTTTGTCTATACAATGTAAACAGAAGTCTACAGTCTCCTTTAATTTCCTTTTATACATTTTTAAATATAAAATACTATTTAGGTGGGGTATTTACTGGTGTATTTTATGTTGTAGAATAAAAAAAGGAAAAGAGAAACAAATAACAAAAGGGTATTGGAGAATTGTTGGTCTGCATATAAAAAATAGCTACACAGAGATATACTGGGATATACATTCACCACCCCAATATGGGCAACTTTTACGGCCACATCCATCACATTCAGCATCTTGTTGCAGGGATTATTTAAAGGTAGGGTCCGTAATGGGCGGCTGGGGCTCAGAGGCAGAGCGTGTCATCCACTGAGAGTTGAGGCAAAGTAGTCAGAGGGCATTAGAAAGGAAACAAGGAAATGTTCTCTCCATAAAATATGTTCCAGTTTCACCAAAATCTGTAACATAGCGGGTCGTGTGTGACATAGTTCTGTAAATGCACTTGTCTCAACCCAGAGGTTAAAGTGAACTAAACAGGAATACGGGTCACAGAGTGGGAATGACAGAGGCACGAGTCAACCTGTTACAAGTCAGGGAAGCATCAATATGATTTTGAAGCTGTTATTTTAAGGTAGTAAAGTTACATTATGGGGGTTTAAATGTGCTTCACTGTTAAATTCCCCAAAAACAACAAACGTTTCATAGAAAGAAAATCCTGTGTTCATGGGCTTTAAAGCTTTGAAAAGTAAACATTCACAAATCTTGTAACTTAGAAACAGCACTGAAGTTAATGACGGGTCTAAATTGGTAGTGAATTATGATGCCAGCAGCCTAATACAGAATGCATTCCTGTGCAAACAAGTGAACTTTAAAACAGATGTTTTTTAGTGCACCTCTGATATCAGAGAAACAATAACTTTGCCTCATTATATGCTATGTTTTTTTTTATATGCTTTGCCCTGGTTTTATATCCCTCTCTGTTCACAGATTGGATTAATCACACTCACTACTGGCCAAGTGAAAAGACACATTCCTGGCTGTAACCCCTGAGCACTGGCCTGCAGCAGCTCCCTCTGCCATACAGGTCCAAAGTGCCTGGGAGCCTGGGAAGTGCCTAAACTGCTCATCATGCTTTGACAAATGGCTAGCATTTTATATATTATTAACATATATGCGAGTAGTAGTAGTAGTTTGTAGTGAATAAAAAAATATATTATTATTATTATTATTATTATTATTATTATTATTATTCAAACATGTGAAAGCACAGGCACATTTTCCAATTAGGGAAATGAAAAAAGGATAATGGCTTATACCGTGATTCACCTCCTGGACTCGATAATGCAAAGAAATATGAAATGGGCGGCTGTGGCTCGGAGGCAGAGCGGGTTGTCCACTAATTCCCCACTCAGCGACACACCTGCTGAGGACAGACTCTTGATTATTGGCTCTCGCATAGTCAGAACGTGAAGTTAGCGAAGCGCAGGCGGCACAGTTAATATGTCTCCCTGGGGCCAGAGCGGGCGATGTTGATCTTATTTAAAACTGCTGCTAAAGATATACGTAAATACAATAAGATGTTATTACCGTCGGCGGTAATGACACCCGATACGCAATTCGAGGTCACTAAGATTAAGTGGGTTGGTGTGTTAGATTGGAAAGAACAATGTCGGACACCGTATGTTTCTGGGAACGCTGCCAATGTGACAGTGATGACATGTATGCCACATGTCTTCATTCCACGCGCGGCTGTCGAGGTGGTGTCAGAAAACATGTGGGCTTCAATTGAATATGGGAGCCTTTTTGGGGAAAACCTGGTCTGATTAGGAGATTGAGGAGTTTTAATGGACCCTAAACTAACTAAATTATAATTCATTTAAAAGCGTTGTTCTTAGTCTTATCATGCCAAATTGGAAATCTGCAGCAGTTTTATTCGTTATATGTACGCGGCTCCTGGCCGTATCTGATTTTATATCTGAATTCTCAGAGTTTTTATTAAGCTTTAGTCGCTTAAATCAGACAAAGCTATTATGTAGGTGATTTTAGATATTCTGGTGGATGTTGAAAATGACAGGGCTTAGTAATTGATTTACTCATTAATAGAGCTCAATTGGCTTCTGTCAGAGTGTAATAAACCACTCATTGTTTTAATCCACTCTTGACCTCGTTTATCATATGGCATTAGTAATGAAACATTTAATTACGTCTTCCACATATCTCTCGCTATTTGACTTATTTAATAACTTTTGAATCATACTATTGAGATTATAAGCCATTAGGCAAAACTTCCTAACAGCAGATGTCTATCTGACGGTGGCTGTAGCTAAATTTAAAGGAGGAGATTCCTTCAGCGTTCATTCATGGCCATGTCTGAATTTACAGAGTCTTATATTAACTTTAGTCCTCGAAATTGTATCCTTGTCATAGTGCTGGGGCTCTACGAAGAACTTAGACTCTATCGCTCTATAAAAGGAGTTATTAAAACATAGGAAACTGAGCCGTGGTACAACCACCAACCGCAATTAATAGAACAGCTAGAAATCGGAACGGAAATGGCGCTCTTCCAATTATAGAATATCACTCAATTTGGCGAGATATCTTAAACATATAGAAAGGCGTAAACGTAACGTCAGAGAGCCTTTACTCGCCTAATAGAAGCAAATAAGAACAACCCTAGGTTTCTCTTCAGCGTGTAGCCAGGCTGACAGAGAGTCCAGCTCTATTGAGCCATATCCCATAAACTTAAGTTACATGACTTCATGAGCTTTCTTTTATAATATTATTACTATTAGAAGAGAAATTATCACAACTGCCATCAACAGTTATAGTGGCTCTCAAGTTCAGGAACTTTAAACTAATGTAAACTTGATATATATTTAGAATGTTTTCGGTATCGATCTTCCAGTTAACTTCAATAATTTCTTCATCGAAGCATCACTGTCTGTTAGATCCAATCCCAACTAGGCTGCTTAAAGGAAGTTGGTCCTTAATTGGCTTCTTTTAGCATAGATATGATATCTTCTTATTATCGAGGATATGCTACCACAGTCGCTTTAAAGTAGCTGTAATTAACCCTTCTTAAAAGCACTCTTGCCGGGGTTTTGCAACTACAGAGACCGATTTCTTAAACTCCCCTTCCTTCTCTAAGATTCTTGGAGAAAGTAGTCGCAAACAGTTGTGGTGCTTTTTA